TGGTCCAAATGAGATGAGCACTCTCCGGAGGTGGTTGTCCATTGAATATTGCCTCATCTTAAACCTCTGCACTCAATGTACTCAAAATGATATTAATAGCTTGAGCATTGAGTTGCACGCATATCTCTTCCTCTTTTGATAAATTCTTATAGTTGCTCCAATCAACTATAGGAAGAGGTATGCTTGCAAACACAATATGCTCAACAATAGGACTAATATGTCTAAAAGCATTGAGTACATGAATTGACCAAGGTAGAAAGTTTGAACCATCATTTTAGAGAAGCACCGGCTCCAACTCGATAGGCGTTGACATCCTTTTCTCACGGCGGTAAAGCTTTAGGTGAGAACCTCTCTCTGATACCAATTGAAAAGACCTAGGATGCCGCCTAGAGGGGGGGTGAATAGGCGTTTCTGAAAATTAACACCTTTAAATGCGGAAACGATTAGTAAAAAGAGTTTCCAAAATGGAAACTCCAAATAAAGAGTAGTACCACCCCTCACAAGTTAGCCACAGAGTATATAAAAGATACTAAATGAATCTAGGAGCCAAACGCCTGCAACCAAAGAGTTAGAACACAGTACAATTTAGTTTGGCGCAGGGGCTAATACCGGACGTGTCTGGTATTCACGACTTCAGTGGAACAGCCCCGAACTTGCTCCTTTTGATTTCTATCTTCAATCCAAATGGCAGGAAACTATTAGAGATAGTAATATACACAGAGAACCTGCAGAATAACTAGAGCAACATAAATATCAAATGAAATGTGAATTGAGACACGATATTTGTTTTACCAAAGTTCAGACTCGTTCGAGTCCTACTCTCCGTTGAGGGGGCTGCGGGTGACCCAGCGAAGGCCAGCCCTAGAGGGTACCATGAAGGTCACTCTAGCCGGAGTCTTTTCCAACTCCTTTTCCTCCTTCCACTAAATGATTCCGAGGAGGCAAAATCGACCGTTACAAACTTTCCGAAGCAACCACAATCTCTCGGTTGCTCTCCGGCGACGCCTAGCCGTCTAGGACCGAAGAGTCCAAGAGTAACAAATGTGAATCACGAGATTGACAATATGCACAAGTGCTCAAGTGGTGGCTTGCTCTCTTTTTCAAATTCTCTCTTAACCCACAAATTAATTTTGCAATTTGGATCACACACTCACTAAGAGAGGGTTGGGAGAGTTGGCAAGGCTCAAAAACGTGTGTCTATCTCAGCAGAATCAGCAGCCTCCAAAGGTGGAGGCTTGGGGGTATTTATAGCCCCCTTGAAAAACTAGCCGTTTTATAGCCGTTGCAATACCGGACACGTCTGGTATGAATACCGGACACGTCCGGTGTGACTTACACTGTCCCAACGGTAACTAAGTTACAGAGAAGTTGTGAGGCGTCGGAACTCTCGACAGCCGGAACTCTCGACTCACGTCGGAACTCCCGACCCTCAGTAAATTTGAAAACCATGTAACTGAGTTAAAGAATATGAGGTGTCGGAACTCCCGGCACATGCCGGAACTTCCGACCGTCGGAACTCCCGACTCACATTGGAACTCCCGACCCTCAAGGCTTTGGAAAACTAGCCGTTGGCCTTTGGTCGACCATGAATACCGGACACGTCCGGTATGACCTGGACAGTGAACTCTCCAAATTATTTAAATTGCGAGTCGTCGGAACTCCCGACCATTGCCGGAACTTCCGACCGTCGGAACTCCCGACATACGTCGGAACTCTCGACGAACCAACCCGAGAACAACACTTTTACAGTTACTGGGCAAATACCGGACACGTCCGCACGTCCGGTATGGCCAGACCAGCAACAAGTCAGTTAGCTCTTTTGTCTCTCAAACACTCAAATCTCACATGGGTTGGCTTGAGCACTTATGAAACATTATCTATCAACATGATGCATCCCTCTTAATAGTACGACATTCCTATTTACTCAAATTTAAAAGTATAACGAATTTAAACCTTTTGAGTTGCTCTTTTTGAACCGAAGCCGTGTATTCCAATCTTCATCAAGTGAGGGCGCCAACATGTTGATATTGATCTTTTTCACTAGAGCATAGCCATTTTGAGCACGTGACTTGATTCCATTCATCATATTTGAATAATCCCAAATGTATCAAGTCACTTCCTTCAAACACTCCAATAGTGATTTGATCCTTTACATAAATGTGGCCATCATAGCTTGATTAGTACCTCAACTAAATGCAAGTACTTTCTTCTTCACCCTAGCTAGGTTCTTTGGCTGCCAAGCCGTCGCTTGCCCTTCACCCTTGCTTAGTACCTCGAAGCCTTTCCTTGCTATCTTTACCATCTCAAGCCATCAAGTCACATCTTGTGTTGAATCATTCATTCATGTATTGTTATCTTTTTCATTTCAATTTTAGCAAGCTTCAAATATGAGACCATTCCATATGCAAACCCTTATGTCTCATTAATTAATTCTCACAAGCTTGCTTTTACATAGTACATGGAAATCCCACAATAAACAAGCCTTTGCATGAATTCCATTTGCATTGTTGTCTTGTGCTTGAACTAGATTGTTTATACAACAACACATCATTTTGGCTTTCATTAAGTACTCATGAGATAACCTATAACCTGTCCACACTTAGCAAACGGGTTAGACCTTTAATCACGTTGTCATTCAATCATCCAAAACCCACTAAAGGGCTAGATGCACTTTCAGTCGTGGCCTTCATCATCGTCTCCTAGTTCCCAGGGGCGTCGTACCCAAAGTAGGTAGCTGCCCTGGGTCGTCGATCGCTTGGTCGCTTTGCGGGGCCGAGGGCCACGACCCCAATCGTCGGGGTCGGGGCGCTCTGCCGGTCTAGATGGCCTTTTCATCGAGTCCCTTGTCGTGGATCTCATCCCGTAGTAGGTGGGATCGTACAAGCGTCCAGTCGGTCCGTATTTGGAAGGTGGGTATCGTACCTGTTGCCACCGTGGTGTGGTGTTGTCTCGTCGGTGCGGCATGGCACAAGGATGACGTCTGGCCGAGCCGAGGTGACTGTTGTCGCCTCGGTCCTTGCGGGGTTTGTGCGGCATGCTTGCTCTTGTCAGAGCAGGCATGCCTAGCTGCGCTCGACCTCCCCCCATCCCTTCCGGGGGTCGTGATAGGGAGAGGTCGTGCATCTTGCAGAGTGTCGTGTACTAAGGCGGGTGGAAGAGGTCGGGGATGACCCCGGCCTTGGTGGCTAGCCCGCTCCGCTCGGCTTTTGCTGGGCCTCGATCGTTCGGGCCTTCGTTAGCTGCTGTATAGCAGGCCGCGCGGCCTGCTAACTAATCAGTGCCTTGAGACACCCCGGGGTTATAACCCCGACAGGGACGATGAAAGAGGAGTGATGGACATACGGGAGAGAGAGTGAGAGACGGAAGAAAGAAATTATCACTCTTTAATATTATTTGCAAACATGCTCGTACGTTTCAGCAAAAAATATAGTTATTATGCAGTGTTTATACTAATGATAATGAGCTAGCTATTTTTGTTAAATTTAGTTGGCTTGGACCAACCTTAAGTCAAATAAATTTCAAAACCCATAATAAATGTCAGTGCAATAAAAGGATTAATATCATATGGAAAATTGACACAACTTAAATATGTCGCTATTGTGCGTACTTATTGTGGGTTTAAAATAGGTAGAAAACAAGCCACATGTTCGCAAGTCATGATGCTTACAAGTTTGGGCGTCCAGGTCATGACATGAGTGTTGTGGTGCCAATAAAGATTTTATAGCTCCAAACTCAAAAGCGAGAAGCATGAGAGTGAGGGACGACAGATAGCAGGACAGAAGAAGAGGAGTGAGGGACTACCGTGGGAGAGAGTGAAAGAAGTAAAATAGGAACTTTTGCTCTTTAATATTATATATATAGCAAACATGTCCATACATTGCAACGCGACAATTTGTTATGTGGTGCTCATGCCAATGATACTAAGCTAGCTATTTTTGTTGAATTAGACTTGACCCAACCTTAAATTAAAAAATTCCAAGACAAAATAAATACTAGTTGCAATAAAGGATTAATCTAGATGGTAAATTAACATAAGATTGACTCAGCTTAAAATGAGTAGCTATAGTTTGTATGTTCTGAGTTGAAAAGTGGAAGACGAGCTATACACTCGTAGGCACGCTGTCTCATGAGTGGGCTTGTCTGGCTATAAGACATGCCATGAGTGATGCAACACCAATAAAAAGTTTTATAGTTCCAAACTCAAAGTGAGAAAAAAAGAGAGTGAGGGATCACGAATCAAGTGACATAGAAGAGAAATAAGGAACGGACAGATGGGGTAGTGAGTGAGAGACGGAAGAATTTTTTCTATTTAATATTAGATATAGATATAGACTAGCAACTATGTGTATATGTTGCAATGGGATATAATATGTTGCGCAATACTCGTATCAATGGTAATAAGCAAGCTATTTTTACTGGATTTCATTAAGGTTAGTCTGACCTTAAATCAAATAAATTTTAAGATCGATAATATACCTGCTGGTTTTCAGAGCTGTGACCGTGATTATAATTGTTCTACTGCTTAATGGAAAAATGAAAAGGTTGCCAACGTCCATGAATACCTTTTCATTTGTGCCTGCGTACTGGTACCACATCAGAGACTGGAAAAAGTTGGTAAATCCCGTTTGCCAATCAATTCAAAACCACCACGGTTTCACTGCCCATAGCAGGTAAGGATTTATAAGATAATCTTTCATGTTTTTGTCCCAAGTGAACACAATACCCAACAACTCTTTCAGAAACTATGGCGATCCGTGATCCATACATAATAGTTCATCCATATTCATTTTCTGTGGCTTCTATACATGATAGTGCACACCATCAGAAGAAAAGCAGAAGTGCAGAATCAAGTCAACAATTGGGATATATAGGAGAGAGAATCATAGCAAGAGGTAATAGGCACACATAAGATTACATAAAGATAGCAGAGTAGTCCAATAACCACACCATGATACCACACTTCACACTGCTGGAGGAAGCAAATGATCCCACTATTTGCCCTAGCGCCTGGCTAGGGCAATGGCGGAGAGTAATATCAGCAGTATCAGCATAACCATGGCTCCGAACGAACCAATGAGGGATCCAGAGATTCGCTCGCAGAATGAGTCAAACTGCTGGCAGATGGCAAGCCAGTTCGCCCTGACATTGCCTTTGTGTGCTAGGTACACAATAGCCGCCGCTGCAGATGCTCCCGCAGTCACCAATGCTAGCATTGCCTTCAAAAGAATCACAAGAAAACAGGTAACCAATTAACCGATATACTTGCTGGCACTTTTCAACATACTGTTACTAGTTGACTAACCACAGATGCTTTTATGGAGGATTATTTTCTTTGAACTGTAAAAAGAGTTAATTAGTCTTACCGCGTCAAGAAAGATCAAGAGCAGCCTGCTGTATTTAGCCCTGCTCCTGATGATGTGCACTATAGATAGTGGGAGCGAAAGGATGAGGTAGACGCAGACAATAGAATTTGCCACAACAAAGAACCTGTCAACAAATGAACAAAATTGAAACAGTTGGAGCATCGGATCGGATGCTCATCATATGTTCGGTTGTTAACTGAAAGTGTTTGTTTCTACTAATTAAGTTGCTGAGGTTAATTAGCTTACGTGAGAGTAGGGAGATCACTGTACTGCGCCTTGAAGCGGATGAACTGTGTGAAGAAAGGCAGCGTTTCGTTGGTGGTGCCCATTGCAATGGCACTAGCAAGGGTGCCGATGATGGCGATGAAGCGAAGTATGAGATCAAGCACGGACACTCCTTTGCTGACACCCCTGCCCAGGGGCGCCGCCTTCGAGGTCTCGCCATGCTCGCTGGATCCTTTCATTGTTAACGCCCTCTCTATACAGGTCTCACCTTGATATGGAACCTGCTGGTCGCTCAGCTGATTTGGAGAGCACAGCCCATCTTCCCACATTTATATGCATGCTCAGCAGCGCGAAGTGCAGTGCAAATGGATTAGGTCAGCTCGATATATGCCAGGGCAGGTGGCCGTACAGGACGTGTTCTGTGAGAGCTAGCTCCCAGGTGCATTTCGGTGGATACCTACTCTACTTGCTCCATGCATGGGACTGGTCGCTTGGTTCGTGCAGAGTTTTTGGTCTCTTTATAGCCGTGGACTTCCGCTGAGCACTACTATAGGGGTTGGCGTATCTCATTGCTAGTTGTCCTAATATGATGTGGAGGCTTCAACTAAACACTTGTTAGCTCATTCCTACTCCAGAAGCAATGCGATGATATTCATCTTTATGTCAACTCATGAGATCTGGGGTTATCTGTTTTGCACAAAGCAAGTTAGTTGGTGAATTGTTTCGTGCTCGTCAAGCTTGAAGAACCATACCGACCTGGAATAGCTGTCTGGGCTGTCATCAGCTTTCACTTTATGGTGAGTGTCGTTGATGCTTTTCCATACTGAGGCCCTGTCCGTTTAGATCCAAAATTTTTTGAATTTTGGCTCACTGTATCATTTCGTTTGTATTTGGTAATTAGTGTCTAATTATGGACTAATTAGGTTCAAAAGTTTTGTCTCGTGATTTCTCGCCCAACTGTGTAATTAGTTTTTTTTTCGTCTACATTTAGTACTCCATGCATGTGCCGTAAGATTCGATGTGACGGGTACTGCGCAAAATTTTTTGGAATCTAAACAGGCCCTGAATGTTTTCGGGTATCTCAGTTTTCACCACAACGCTATTCTGAACATAGTTTTTACCAAGAAATTTTATTTTCTTTCCCCTGCTTTTCTGTTTTCAAGCATTGTATCTTGAGCATCAACGGTGTAAAATTAGCACAGTGGATATGGATTGCCATATTGCTACTTTAATTAAGAAACGGCCCGAAGTACTTCTGAATGTTGTTATGTATATAAAGATACTTTAAGTTTTGCACCGAAGGATCGCAAATTCGCAATGAATTTTTAGTCTTGACAGTAGTATATACGTATATGTTTGTCACAAGGTCTTCCTGAAATCCAGCCGTGGCAGCCTTTTATGTGGTTCATTGACATCGGAATTTAACCAGGACTTTTAAGTCGTGATAAGGTGCGTAAATGATCAATTCTTGAAAACGAATGAACAGAAACTCGACATGACAAATCAATGAAGCCGATCGGAAGTAGCATGCGTAGTTTGCTGCTCCTTTGACTTTTTTGGGTTTATCTCTTTTTGCTATGTATCTAGGTATATTATTATATCTAGATACATAGCAAAATAGATGTACTAAAAACTCAAAGCGTCTTATAATTTAAAACGGAGGGAGTACTACGCTAGCCTAGCGCTACGCATGACAGCTAGAGTAGTCCGAACAATACTAGTGGATATGTTTGAGGTGCATTTGACACTTGAACTTGTCCCTGAAACTGGAAGACCCCTCAACTTAAACAGAAAAAAAAATCTTTCATTATTCAACGTTTAAAATCAGCAAATTACCCCTCCTAAATCTGTCAAAAGTGGTTTTGACTGTGGTTTTCAGCCAAGTTATTATTCTTTTTAATTAAAAACCCAAATCCTCCAAACACTGGATAAGGGTTTTAAACCACTAAAAAAAATATCTTCAAGGCTCCACAAAAAAAACGTCTATTTCTTCTTAAGTTGGTCATTTTTTTTATCATGCATACAGAGCAGACAACAGCAATAAAAAAAACTGAATAATACGTGCAAAACAAAATTTTAAAATTTCTACTAAAGTCTCTGATAAGAGTGACCAGCTATCAAATTTAGACCACCTTTGAATCATTGGACAACGGAAAGCTGCACCTCACCTATGCTGTTCAGGGAATCTGGTTATGTTGCCAATTCGGTATCGCTAGTTCACTCAACAAATTCTATCCCAGCATCTCAAATTATATCAAACTAACATGGTAAGAAATGTAAACAAGATCTAGAAAAATATGACAATTTGAACCGCTGGCCGGATGTACATTTGACAACAACAGACCATTCACAGGCTGTGAATCACAGCCCCACCAAGCCTTCATAATTGCTGTGCATACAAATACATTCCAGACAAGCAAACCAGCGAGCAAAGACAAGCATGAGCGAGGGAGGGAGAGGGGGAGACAGCCAGAGAGAGAGAGAGATGGTGGCAGCAGCAGTAATCAACCAGAGTTGCCAAGCAGAATTCAGCCGAAGAAGTGCATTCAGATATACATTCTTATTCTTATTGCAAAAACACCAGTAATCATCACGCTAGTATATCAAACAAAAAGGTATGAAAGGGGAACCCTGAAAGCTGACTCATGATATCAGGAACAAGCTCCACAAGCACAAAATGCAACAGAAACACAAGGAGGTCATGTCTGTCAGAGCCTTTATAAACCTTTTTTTTTTAATCTACACAAACATCCTACGGAGCCTGCTCAGCCAGCTTTAAGGAAGAAAATAAGGGCAGGACAAGATATCAACGGATGGATGGATTGACTGGCTTATAGTTGCTATCAGAGGGAGTTCAGTACACGATCAACCACCGCGGCCAAGCTGGCTTCAATCAACAAGTGTATTCAGATGTCCATTCTTAGTGGAAAGGTAATCATCAAGCAGGCAGACCAGATTCACCAGAACACCCCCATGAGGAAGGGCCTGTTTTGATCCATTAATTAATGATAATTGTTAGCAGCTAAAATTAGCACTAGTGGATCCAAACATCCTAACTAATAGTACAACTAATAACCCAGAATAAACTACCTAGCTAATAAAAAGTTAATGACTAGCTTCCCTACCTCCATCCCAAATAAATCAACTTAAAGTTGTCCTAAGTCAAAACTTTTGTCAATTTAACAGAATGAGTAAAATACACCGGAGGTCCATTAACTTTCGGTGATGTGTCATCTAGGTCCATCAACTTTGAAACTGCATTTTTTGGTCCATTAACTTTCGTTTGGTATCATCTAGGTCCATCAACTTTGAAACTGTATTTTTGGTCCATGAACTTTTTAAATGGTTCACTGCAGGTCCACGCATGCATGCATGGTTCACTGCAGGTCCATCAAATTTATAGAAAAGAATACCAATATTTATGACACAAAATGAGTATCATTAGATACACCATAAAATATACTTTCATAGTCTATTTATTTGGTGTCATAAATGTTGATATTCCTTCTTGTAAAGTTGGACAAACTTACAAAAAATTGGCTTACAACTTTCAAAGTTGATTTATTTGACGGAGGGAGTATTAAATGGAGGATCCAAACAAGGCCAAACACTGAAACTAAAGCTAGCATACATGTAACCTGCAGACTTTAAGTTTGCATTATGCCAATTTCTAGAAGTTTGTCTATACTAGCACTAGTTACATCCACGGTCTAACAAGCACCTGTCTATCTATTCAATGAATGATCATAAAAATTCATTTCATCTCACCTTGTTTGCAATGCAGGGTACCTGACTATGTTGCCATTCCAAATCGCTGGTTCACTTCAACAAATTCCAACCTTGAATCATCAACCACTATGGACGTGTAAATTAAGATCCAAATCCAGATGGAAGAGAACATGACAATACAGAACTCCAACATTTGATTTTTAAGCCAAAGAATAAACGGTGAAACTAGAGGTCACTGGCATTGCAGTTAAGAAAGGGCAACAATTCAGCAAACAGGGTAGCCAAAAAAACAAGAGTAAAAACACCAACCATATAGAGATTACTTTTACATGACAAAATTGTATGGTTAGGGGGCATTCATGCCAAGCCTTCATAAACCTTTGCATCTGCATATGCATTCCCCGGAGCCCACTTAAGCCAGCTTGGTTCACAGAATATCACACACACATCCACACGAAAGCAGGCATCAAGCAAGCAGCCAGAGAGGGGGGGGATCCCCCCCCACTGACGCCCGCGTCGCTCCCCCATGCGGGGCAACTCGGGCGGCCCCTGCCGCGCCGCCTCCCTCTCACCCCTCTCCTCCTCGCCCGCTGCACCGCCACCGGAGCTGGCTGCCGGCATGGCCGCCCGGCCGGCTGTGATGGTGGCGGCGGGGCTCTCCCTCCTCGTGTTGGCGGCGTACCTGCAACAGGCCGGCGGTCCGGCCCCGCGTGACCGGCGTGGAGGTTGATGAGGTGGCTGCCGCGGCTGTTGCAGCGCCGGCTGGTGTCCGTGCAGGCGCAGGGGACGGCGGCGAGGTCTTCTTCTTCTCCGCGCGTTCCCCTTCTCTCTTGATGGCGGCGGTGGCGGCCAGCCGAGGCCGCCCGGTCCGGGCCCGGTCGGCGATCCGGTGCCGGGGCGAGATCGGACCCCAGCCGGATCTGTCTTATGGCGCGGCGGCGGGCGAAGGCTGGCCCATGCATGCGCTGGGCGCGGTGCTTTCTCTCTGCCGTCCCTCCCTCATGGCCTTTCTTCTGCTGCGGCTCGGTTGCGGTGTGCCGGCGGCGACCTCTGCCAACCACCGCCCCGGCGGTCTGGCGGCAAAAACAACGGTGTCTGCAGCTATGGTCAAGACGGAGGCATCGGCGTCGGCAGGGGGCGCCGGATTCGGGGCCTGGCGTCCGGATTCGGCGGCCCCAGGGCATGGGGCGGAGCCCGACATGGTGGGGCACACTGGCAGTGATGACGGCAGCGACATCGGCAGGTGCCAGAGCCGACGACGTTGGTCAAATGCGGCCTCGGCGTGCGGTGGTGTGACGCGAGCGGCAGAGTCAGGTCCGGCTCTGCGTGGCCCGGTCGGAGGGGGTGGCGGCCGACGCAATTGTCAGGCGCTACGTGCAACCGGCTCGTGGATGCCCCTCTTAAGGGCTTCCGTGGGCGCCCGGGACAACGGCGATGGCGGTGAAAGGCGGCACGGTCCGGCCATGACCCGGCGAGTGTGCTAGAGGGTTCTTGGCGAAAGCCTTGGCGACGGCGACGCCGTTGGCGCCGCTTCCTGTTAGAAGCGTCGTATTTCCCCACTAGCATGTCTTCCAAGGGTGAAAACTCAGTCCACTTTGGA